TGGCGGTCGAGGTGGACCTCTAAATAAATACACTGTCTGTAACACATCACAATTTCACAACTAGTGGAAGAAATCCGTTCTGCAGTTCTGTGAGCACGCTGACATAAGAACAACTTATCAAAGATTTAGTGGGGGCTTCTTTCACTCTCTGTCTTTAGATAAAGTCACTGGGCACAAAACCTTCCTTATCACATTGCCATGAATTCAGATGAGCAGATTTTCCAATGCTCGTACCAGAAATGACAGTCAAAGACATCCTCTGACTTTCCTCACTCTGATTCCCTCTCTTTTCATGTGGCTTTCCAAGTTTGGTGACTGTCAACAGATTTATGACGCTGCGGGAAGACGCCTATGACCCTGCTTCATTCTTCCTTCCCTCTGTAACTCTGGGACACACGCATTATCAGACGGTCTCAGAGATGTTATCTGTCTAAACTGTTTTGATTCCTTGCCCTCAATGTTTTTGTTACACATACTGCACATGATGTCAGGGTCTATCATTTTCAGAAAAGGGCTTGGAGAAGCCACTTAGTTCACTGAGCATAAACACTGTTTACACGCCCTATGACGGGTCAGTTCTCTGAACGGAGACTGCTTCCAGAGTACTTGGTGGCCTCCCTAGAGTTTTTGCAGCATTTTGGTTTTAAATCCCAATATTTAGCTTTGTGATTCTCTAGGCTTTTAGGAGACAGTGGCCTACATCTTTTCAGGATGGCAGTGGGATACTGGGAGAATAAGTTTAAAGAATAGTCATTTTTATAACTCAGAATTCTTTCTTATATGATGAATTGCAAATATTGGCAATACTTTTGTTATGATGTTTAAATAATCTAACAATTTCTCTATTCCCCAACCAACAGAAACTGTCATCTCTCCTTTTTCCCTACCATGTTTCCACTTGCTCATTCACCCTGGGGAACAATACTTCTCTGTTACAGCCACAGTGATCTGACTGTTATTTTTCACTTTCCTATGAATGGAAACAACTCCTTAAAACTACTGCTAAAAGGAAATCAATAAAACCTTGATCTGTACACTCTCTTCTTAAATTAGATGCACTGAATGGTACCTATTCCATGGTCACCATCTGTTATTAACAATATCTACAATACAGGATAAACTCTTACCAAACACTTGGATTAAGAAAGTGAACTGGCCCAAATATTTCAAGGTACATTGATCAAACAGTAAGTGTGCAGGCAGTGAGAACTGTTAAACTGTGACTGTCCAGCCAACGCACCTAAAACACTCTTTATCCGTCCACAGGTCCACATTCAAAACTGCAGGGTGGTGCTTCACATTGCAAGTCTCATACCTTCCCTGCTGTCCTCACTCCCGTCTGCATCAAACTCCTTACTGGAAGTACCTCTGTCATCCATTCCTTCCCCCAGGCTTGCTTTCACACGCTGCTCATGCTGAGGCTTGGAGCCAGGCAAAGAACTTCCTCTGAATCACCCAGAGTAAATGCCACTGATGTGCAGCCCTGTGAAAAGCTACAGGCCACAGAGAGGCCATCACTGCTCATCTTCCTCGTTCTGTATCTGAACACTTGGCAATCCTACTCCAGAGGAGGCAGCCTCCCTCCCTGACAACCTCATTCTCTAATTTTCCTTACATCATGCGTCTGAGACAGTCCTTGGGAACTCCTCTTTAGCACATCTCTGTATTTCAGTCCATCATGTACTAAGATATTTTTGCATGTTGTGTTTTAAATTGGACCTGGTAAGTATCTCTAAGGGTAATGACAAAAAGGGAGGAAAGTTCTGGTTCATCTATATAGTCTAGTGACCATGAGGATGCCATCTGTATAAAATATAGCAAAATAAAGAGATGCCTAAAGGAAAGTAGTTGAGAAAATAGAAGGAATGGAATGAGAGCCTAACTCAATATCGTGGGGTAACAGATAAAGTTTAGAGCTTGATTAAAGTCACCCACCACCACATCCCTTAGAACGTGGAACTCAAAAGCTACCGGAGAAAGGTCAGTCCAAATCTGCACAGAGCTTAAGACCCCAACTGCTTTTTATTTTGATGTTCAACATTATTAGAACATCTCTCATCCATGAAGTACTCTTTCTTGATAAATATTTAGCTGTGTGGTGGCTTAGGCTCAAGGGAAGAGCCTAGACTCTCATGTGGAGAGCCTGGCTGGCTGCAGGCACTGCATGGATCGGACTTAGCTACCATAGGACGGGGATGTGCCTTGGGATTAGTGACTGAAATGTGGTAACCTTGGGAGGCCAGAGCCACAGGGACTTGGGGCAAACAAAGCTGAGCCTAACTCTGAGCACAGAGACTCTGCTTTCCCTGCATACCGAGACGCTACCGTCTGATCAGAAGAGAGAGCGCTGCTGCTGTGAGTCAGGACAGCACCCGATCTCCTGTTTCCACAGCAACACCAAAGGGCAGTGACTGCACGTTCTCCAAGAAGAGAAGCTCTAGGTCAGTTGTAACAAGAATAGCATTTCTGTACTGAACCATTAATCACTGAAAGTCCAGTCAAACCATGCTTCCGTAACAGCAGTGTAAATCTCCAATTCTAGAAAGAAAAGATAACGATTTCCCCTTATAAGCACAAAAAAAACCTCCAAATAAAATAATTTCTCCTTATAGAAGGAACTATTATTTACACTCATAGAAAAGGGATAAAATTTCCTAAAGTAAAAGTCAAATGAAAGGATAACTGTCATGTTATCTACAAATAATACTTTTTCTGTACCTGTTCTCATGATCATATGTTAATTTGTAGACAATGTATAAATTCAAATCATAAATCAACTTCCTTACAAAGAAAAGTACTTAGGGAAAGAGCAGTGATTCTTCCAGGACTTTCTCACTGGCTAGAAGGACAGACAAGACAAATTCTAAGGCAACACTAATTAAAAAACTGTGCATTCAGCATGAAATGTACCAACTCCTGTATCTCACATGTTAGTTTCTGAAAAGCCTCCCGACAGCTGGGAGGACGCTCACGCTGAGCCGGGCGCATTCTGCCCATCGGCTGTAAGGTCCCTTACGGCCCCAGGTGTCACGACCAGGCCCAGTACTAGCTACAGGGAACATCACACAACTCTCTAATTCGGGGTGACCTAAACACGCGATCATTAACACGCAGTGGCTGTCTGCTGGCCTGCTGGCCCAGGTCTCCGTGTTTTGGTTCAGCAGCATCAATGTAACTTGCAAGCGCAGAGGACTTCCAACTGCATCACGTGTTCCCTCCTCTACACCCACTCTCTAGCCTGAGGCCCATGATATTGAAACTGATTCACACTAACTGTGCAAAAGGGTCACTTTTTATTTCCCCTTAAAGGAATGTTGAAGTAACACATATGATATTCACTTAAACATACAGGAGCACACATATGTGCGCTCAAGGTCACAAAGAGGATTTGTGGCCACAGATGTTGCCCGAAAGAGCTGAATGCAAATCACCAACAGAACATACTGAGGAGGCTCCAGACCTGCACAGACACGCACAAGGATTAATATTTATATTCTATTTATATTTGTTATCTATGTTATCTTCTAATCTGGAAGGAACATACCCATGGAGTCTGATGGACACACCTTAACCAAGTGGCCAAGGTTAGGGTCACCAGGCTCACACCACACTCGTGTCATGTGCCCCTGTTGCAGTGCAATGAGAAGAACACCTCGCTCTGGGTGTCCTTTCAAAAATCCAAACTCCCAGTATAATCCTAATACATTAGACAAACCCAGAATGAGGGACCCTTTACAAAATGCCAAGCCAGAACTCTTCAAAATTTGGTCTCCAGGTCACAAATGGGAAGAAAAGACTAAGCATTTGTCACAGATGGGAGAAGGCTGAGGACACAGCAATCAGATGCCACACGACAGCCTGGGTCAGGTACAGGCAGAGACACGGCACTAGTGGAAAGACTGGCAAAACCCAAAGGAGGTCTGTGGCTTAGCTGATAACATTGCATCAGTGTTAATTACTCCTTAGTTTTGACAAAATACATTGTGCTTAGGTAAGATGTTCCAATTAGGTGACACCGGATGAGGAGTACACAAGAACTCTGTTCTGTATTTGCAACCTTTCTGTAAACCTAAAATTATTCCCCCCAAAATATTATTTTAAAAAATACTACTAAAGTATTATTAAATGTTGCCAAATGCCAGCCACAGAGACCAAGAAACAGGAAGTATGTTAATCTGAGAGTCACACAAGAAAATGTTGCAAATTTGGTACCTAAGACTTAAGACTCTTCTTTCCCTCCTTACAGACAGCTGGATGTACTTTAATGACATCACTAGTATTCCAGCAACATATCTTTAAATTCTAATAACTTGGCTAAAATTAAGCATACTCCAAATGGGATAAAATAATACACTGAAAATTCCCTAATTTCTTAAAACCCCAACTGACTGCCTGGTTTCTTAATCTTTCAATGAACTTTATAAAAAGAAAGCAAAGAGTTACTTTATAATTTGTTTTAATCTTCTTTTTTTGCTCACCTAATGAAACCAATCTTTCCTTTTCCTTTTAGTTTCCTTATATACATTTTAATGGAGAACCAAATTTGACAAGGCACATTTCACTTCTAAGAACTACTTACCTAGCTTGCAAATTGAATGTTTATGTTCTGTCTTACGGTGTGACACCATTTTTGTTGAAAGGGTATGTGTGTGAGTCTAGGGAGAGCTGGAAAGACACACGTGAACAGTGGTACGAGAGTCAGCAAGCTGACCCACAGGCCCACACTCTCTGTCTCTGGTGCAAAGTTGCTGCTGGGGGGTGATTATCCAATTTTCAAGTTCCAATCCTCTAAGTGAAGCTACTTTACTACTTTAGGCCCATATAATGTGAATGTGTATCGTTTCCAGGCCAAGGAGTTTATCGTTGTGTTTCCCCCACTCTCTTTGATTTCTATGATAACCCGGAAGGCATGCTGTACAGTAATGTAATCCTTTGAAAGCAAAGTCATAAAACAGTAAGAAAACTAGCACACAACTAATTTTATATTAAATATCACTTACCCTATGTCCGTGTAAGGAGGGGCTATCCACTTCAATACAAATCTTGCACATGATGTTCTGCACATATTTTTTATATATTTATTGAGAAAAGTCCATGTATAACTGGACCCACGTAGTTCAAACCCATGTTATTCAAGGGACAATGTAGACTCTGTGTGGGAGAACAAAGAAAAAAATTGTAATCTTTCAATCTCAATAATCTTCCTCTTACTTCTTGTGACTTTGAAAAAGTTACCTTTTCCTACCAGATAAAAAAGGTCTCCTTCTTTACAATAGTTATCCGGAAATGCTAGTAAGTATTTCTGCTACATTTTAGATCCAGTATCACAAGTACAGCATCACAGTGCAGACATACATGTCAGTTTAAAAATACTGATTACCTACATGCACGACAACCAGAAGTCAAAAGGATGCACAGATTCCAGCACATGTGAAAACTCAGAAAACCTTTAGATCACAGAAAGAACCAGCACCTGTAACAGGGGTGTTTGTTATTTGTGATTATATGCCCACACCACATATTTTTTAAAATCATATTTTAAAACAAAAGTAAAACAACAACAAAAAAACCCCACTATGCTTCTGACCCCACAAATATTTCATTATTTTTTGCCTTTACCTCAGTCATAATGACATAACAGCCGTGGCACAGACCCGCAATTCTCACCTAAAACCCATGCACGTCTTCACAATCCAGTCCCACCAGAGAGAGGTACGCTGTGTCACTGGCTTTGACGGAAACCTGAGGAGTAACGTGTGTCACTGCCAGGCTGAGGTAGCGAGAAATCCCAGAGGGATACTGCGCAGCTTTTCATCCTCTGCCTCAGTGAACAGAAAACTGGTGTTGAGATGACAGAGTGAAGATGGAACCTTGAATCACCGCTTAAAGCAAGCTGCCCTGGAGAGCCAGCTGACACACCGAAGGCTTTTATGTAACAACACACTGAGATTTCCGAGTTGGTTTGTTACTGAAGCACACCCCAGCCTCCCTGACTAATATAGCACCTTTCAACTTTCTCCTCCTTCGAATTCCACAGCATTGCAATCCATTTACTACAAAGATGCTTATCTCAATGGAAACTTTGGGCCTTGTTATTTAAACAAAGTCTTTACTTAGCCTATGAGTTAGACAAGTGTATTTTTGGGACCGCTCATTCATCGCCTTAGAGAAAGCATGGTATAAAAGAACGAATCTTAAAAAAATAAAACAAAAAATAACTGCACATCCCAGACTAGTGTTTAGATTCATGGACACAAAAGAGACATTGACAATGTGCATCTAGATAAGAGAACCAATGAACTGTATCTGTGTTTTCTCGGTCGGCCATACTGAACAGGCGTAAGTGTCATCTGCTCATTTAGGGCAACACAAGACCAGAAGGACCAGAAATCAGTTTCTTCGCATTAAAAAAAAAGTGATGAGATAAAAATAGCTCAGATTTGCGTACGAAAAGCAACAGCACTCACTGCCAAGGGCAGTAAACAAGGCAGAGTCATCGATGACCACCGGTTGAACGGGGGAAAGCTCCAGCCAGCACCTAAAACTACTGGGGTAAGTCCACACACACACACAGGTAAGGTAATTGCTAAATGGCTCACTGAGCTGAACAAAGCAGCATGTTCGGAATCCAAGCCTTTCCGCTCCGGGCTGCCTCAGTGCAGCTCACGTAGGTCTCCCAGGACAACCAAACACACGCGCCTGCCCACCGGCCTGACGGGCTCCTAGCGAAACGCAAACCCTGCTTCCAACAGCACTAAGGCCCAGCAACAATCTGAGACACGGATATTCAGAGGTCTCCAGCTCAGTGCCTTTTCACAACATAAATTCCTAAGGATCCAACTGCACACTTTTTCAGCACAGGAGGGCTGTACTCAACCACCTTTTCAGAAAGGAGCAGGGAGTAAGACAGTGGGAGGTGAGAGAAGGTGCATTCAAGTCACCAAGGGAGGATTTTCAAATCAGCTCGCATCCCCATCCCACTCTTCTGGGGTGTCCGCTGAGCCCTTAGTCTCTAGCCCTGGGGGGCCTGGGGAGCAGGGGTACAGGCTGAGGGGGTCTCAGTGGTCCTGCTCTACCCTCATGCCTCCCCACATTTGGAACTTCTGAAATGAAGAAAAACACAAGTCTTTCTTTTTTTGTAAGATTTTTCAAAGGTGGACTCCTGAGAGAACAGATACAAACAAAACATCCAACGGAACACTCACAGTGTTCCGATGGAGACTGAACCAAATGTTTCCTGAGTGTTCTCCTTCTTTCAGGCTCTTGTTACCTCGGAGAAAACAACGTGTTCCAACTTACTCTCACATTGTAGCGAACAGGATGCCTCACAATACTGAATGGAAGTGGAAGGGTCAGAGTGAAAATCTCTAGTTGATGACTTCACAGAGTTTTGATGCAAATGTAAAATGTAATAGTATTGTCTAAATACAATGGCTTTTATCCTCCCAAAATTTCTTCACAGAATTTTACTCTTTCATTGAAACAAATCAATACATAAATCAATACATACCTGTGGTATGCCATGAAATATTAACACTTGTTAGAAATACTTCACCAGTTCTATTTGATTCAATTACGTAATTTGACTCTCGGGCTTCAAATCTTACTGATTTAACTTCAGAAATATTCTTACGCTTTTCCTCTGTCTCTACTACTGGAGCAGTAAATCCAACTGATCGCGTCTCTCATGAGAGCATCATTTTCAGACTATTTACCTATCAGACTATACTGCTCTTCAATCCAAATCTCATCATGTTCTGCTGAATTAAAACCTTCTGTTGCTTCTGCGTGACCTTAAAGACAAAGTCTAAACTTCGGAGCTTTGTAAGAGACCTTTCACAAGCTTTAAACTCAATTCATGCCGCTCCCCACTGTATAGAGTAATCTCTGGTCTCATTATATGCGTTAGATTTTTGAAAATTATTCCTGGATACAGCAGGACTTTTCCTGACTCCACATATACCATCTACTACGTTTAGAATGCCTTCCCCCCAACTTCTTTGCCAAAAAAAATAAAAATAGATTTTCCTATTGGTCCTTTAAGAACCAACTCAAATTATACCTTATCTTCAAAGTGTTCTGTCTCCCTGATGGTGTGTAGAAACTCCCTCTAAAACACAGCCACTTTCAAAACAAGAAATTTTCATTAGCTCATAGTTTCTGTGGTCAGGAACACGTATAGAGCTTAACTGGTGGTTCCAACAGAGGGAGTCTCAGGCAGTGAGGGTGCTGACTGGGGCTGCAGTGATCTGAAGCCTTGACAGGGCTGGTGAATCCCTTCCAAGATGGTTCACTCGTGGGGCTACTGGCAAAAGTTCCTTGTTGGCTGTTGGAAGGATGCCTCAGTTCCTCACAATGGGGACCTCTCCCAGGGCCACTTAAGTGTTCTAATGACATGGCAGTTGGCCTAGATGAGACAGCTGAGAAAGAGTACAAGGAGGAAACTATGGTGTCTTTTACCTATTCAGTCACATTTTAGTCATTGGAAGTGAATCACTAAGTCCTGATAATGCTTAAGAAAAGCCTCCACCTTTGCAGTGAGGACTATCAAAGAATTCAGACATATTTTAAAACCATCACAAAAGGCTTCCAAGATTTCCCCGGGAGTCAATGAGTCTTTTCCTCTGTACTCCCATAGAATTTGTTCATACTTGTATTGCAGAATTTAACATACTGTGTAACGAATTCATGTGAAAAGACACACTGGAGCTTTAGTAAGTTTCTATTTTGCCATTTCCATCTGTTGAAATCCCAAGATTCCTAAAATGAGATTATTCAATAAATGACGTGGGGATAACTGGTTGGTCATGTGGCAGAGGAAGCTGTAACACTACCTTGTTCCTTATTTAAAAATAAATTCCAAGTGAGCTAAAGATTTTTAATTTTTAAATAAGACCATAAATGTACCAGGCAAAATATGGACAAACATTTTTATCATCCTGGAGTGGAAAAGGCCTTTTTGAGAATGACATAAAGGCCCAAGGTTGTCAGGAGGAAGATAATGACTACTTATAGAGTGAAACAGCCATATAGAAAAGAAAAGAGAAAAAGATTTAAACAAAGAAAAACATGCAAAAGACAAACAGAAATATTAATAACATATGATAAATAAAACACTAATTTTCTTAATATAGAGAGAGTTCTTATAATTTTCGTATTACAAGGTGCACAGGTGAGCAAAGGGACTTCCACTTTAAGAAGGCAGAGCACAGGTCACACGGTGCACAGCTGTCTAACTTGGACTGGGATGCTCCAACAAAGAGTGATGTGATTATACCTGGTTTTCTTTAAAAGCCATTCGCTTCTGGCTTACCTGTTCTGCTACAAAGTTACTGGGAAGAATGAAAAACACTAAAGAATTTTGAAAAGTCAGAATTCTTAACTCACTGATCCTAAAAACACAACCAACTTACAAAACATACATAAGCAACACGTTGTGACTTTTCACAATTTAAAAAAAGCCTATTAATTTATATAATCATATTTTACAAGTATAAAATAATATAGAGTATATTAAATACATCAAAAGGCAGAAATTAATACATATGCCAAATACTACCTGAGATAAAGATTTTATAATTGAGAGAATGGGGACCCAGACTAATTGAATCATTGCCATTGTTATAAATAATAGAAGCAGAGTGCAAACCTTGTGTTATTTTCCCCAACCCTACAGTACCTCCCACATGAATGTAGAGGAGCAAAACTTGCCACCACAAAATGTCTCTTTGTCATGCGGATTATGATGAACTGAAAACAGTGAAGGCCCAAAAGACACAAGAAGAAACGTTTGACCGTCCCCCTAACGGCCTAAAAAAACTTCAGAGAGAGGATAGAGGACCTACCCCAGGAAGAGAGCTACCGCAAAGATACCTACAGGGCGAGCGAGGCCTGGAGACAGCAAGGGACCTGGCAGAGTCTGTTAAAATTCCTCTCTGGGTCTCACTGCATCTGCCTTGCCCAGCAAACACTGTTTACCAAACATCTGCTTTTCCATCTTCATCTGCATTGACTTCCTCCTCTTTGAAGTCCCAAATCACTATCCCCAATAACCTCTCTTGCCTTTAGCTGAAGATGGTATTTAAATGTGAGGGTTTCAGCCATTTGGGAGGAGTTACTCAGTTTTTCTGGGTCTCTCCCATTGTATACATGTTGTTAAAATTTTGTTTATCTCCTGTAAATCTGTCTCATGTCAATTTAAATCTTAGACCAGCCAGAAGAACCTAGAAGGGTAGAGGGAAATTTCTTCCTGCCCAAAATGACTGTCTCATTTTTCCTTCTTTGATTTCATAAAAACCTTAATTAATAACTACTGTAACTTTTATAGCATACGCCTAAACTGTTCATACAGAAAATATCGTTTTATCTAAAATATTTTAAAACACGATACAAATTTAAAGATAAATGTTCTCATTTAAATGAAGTGATTTCAGAATTAAATTTTGTTAAATGAAAGATTTTGGTGTCTTAAAAGTCTAAGATAATAATGTGCAAAAGTGACAAAAAAATTGAACGTTTAGCCAGAAATTCTATTTAGCTGTATGTTGGGGTGATTTAGCTACATAAAGTTAAACAAACCAAATATATGACCAAAACCTAATAAATATTTTTATAAAATAACTGTGTGTAAGATGTTCGTATACTTGAGCCATGTTTAGTCCTGTTCAGGGGAATGGAATGTTTTCCTGCGTGTGTTTTCCTTGACAAAACAGGAACTTTAATCCCAAGGAAACTCTCTCAGACTGACAGTCTACTCTCCTGCCTGGAGATCAGGTCTCAGAAAGTCACAGATATTTTTCTGCTTCAAAGTCAGACATGGTATTTTGACAGCTTTTTATTTCACCTTAGCACAAGATACAACTGCCTTCAGAGACGTTTTTTTCATCTGAGTCTTTTCTTAATTTGTCCTTAAATGACCAGTCAGGAAAACCAGAAAAGTTAAATGTGCCAAGAGTCACAAAAATGCCGCTCTGATAAGCACTGAGATCACGGACATGTCTTTAAAAAGCTTTGTTTATGTCAGGAGCTTACTAAAAGAGGCTCATAAGCTACATTTTTCAGTCTATAAACTTGGTTTAAATATGAAGTGGGTAACATGACACCATCAGTTCAACCTTCAGGACTTTTCCCCTTCAGACAATTGCCTACAACAAAATCAGAGCTGACTTAGTTATCACCAGTAACCAACCTTTTCTGCACAAGCTACACTTTCCTAATTACTTAAATAAAGAATAATAAAGGGCAACCATCAGAAAGGTAAGGACTCTCAAAAATTTTGTTCATTGTTCTTTCCCTAGCCCCTTGAACCGAAACTGTAATTACAAGTATACCACTGATTTTGTGCAAAAGAAACAATTTGCATATGATCAGTTATCAATCACCACAAGACTAAGTCTCTCTTGGCTGGAGCTGTCTTGTTTTGTTTTGTTTTTGAACTTATTTCGTTAAGTAAATGCTTAGGACCACATGTTACCTTTCACAAAAAGTACAAAAACTGTAGTGATCTATAATCACGTAGTATCATGGTTAACAAATTTTCAAAAAGAAAAAAAATGCAACAAAACATATTGCTGAAAAAGATGAGAAAATCAGGTAAGATTTTAAAAGCTGCCCTGGGTACAAAGGGTAATTAGTCTGGATAACTCCACTTTTATTCGTTATTTTAGTAATTGCCAGATTGTGGACAAACAATTATTCTATTTAATTTGCCAACTGAATTTCCCCGTGTGCATCTACGTTGTTTGATTATCTATAATTCCTTCCTTCATAAAATAGAGATGATAGTGTTCCTTCTTTTTTCTCCCTTTTTATTTTGGGGAGTAGGAAAAGCACTGAGCCGGGATTCAGGAAAATTGTTCTAGTGCTGGACTGTCACTGACTAACGACATCACACTAACCTCAGTATCCTCATCTTCAAAACACAGAGGAACACTGCTTCCCTTCTGTGCTTCACATGGGTCTGTAAACATGAAATGACATAATGCACGTGAAAAACAATTTCA